TCAATCGGTGGAGATTGAAAAATAACACGTGTTAATTGAGAATTGACAAATTTTGTGATCGACGCAGAACATATATAGCTCTTGGTAAATAAAATTTTATAATTCCTCGATATAATAAAGTCTATTGGATAGAATTGGAATTTTTTTTTCATAATTGATGCTGCTTTTTTTTTTTTTTAGGATATGTTGCCGAAGATTCATCCTTTTATGCATCATTATCTACACAGTCCTTTTCCCGAAGTCAAGACGATTTATATACTTCTATGAAAACTTTAACGAATGCTTTTATCACTGAATTGAAGTATGTTGTTTTATTTAGTAATTTAATTGTAAAAATTATGCGTTTTATAATTTTATAATTATTTTGCAGTAAATCTAATGACTTGATCAATGAGAAGGAAGAATCATCTGAAGAAATAAATTACTCGAATTTTTCTTCCTTTTTAGAAGAAGTCCGGTTGGATTATCAGAATACTAATCAAACTTTACAAACTTCACTTGATAAGTTCAAGGATCACTATAATGCTGCAAAGTCCAAATCAGTTTCTCGGCTATCTTTATTCTTATATGACTTTAATCATAACGTAGACCCAATGGTTCGAGTCAATAATGGTGCGCATATACGGGTTCAAGTAGAATCAATTAAGCGGCTCAAGGTAAAAGGTAGTGCAAAGCAAAAGTTGCCTATTTTAAAAAACAAAAAAAAGGAGAATCTGGACCTGCAAGCTATTCCTGCTTGCAAAAAAAGAAAAATCAGCAAAAAAGAGCACAACTTAAGTAAGAATATATTTGGTAATAATCGAACTGGTAATTTTTAAAGCTTTTCTTATTTTAGATCACACATATCATATACTTATTTATATTATTAAATTAAAAATAATTTAGACAGTTCAACTTAATCGACGGTGAAGAATTTTTTATAGAATTCTATAGTATTAATTCAGATTTCTTCAAGAGCCAAAAAAAAAAATTACAATGATTATAATAGGATTATACACGTATATAGTATATATTTTATTATTGATATGCTTTTTTAGAGGCTTTAAATTTTTTCTTTGCAGCTTTTGACATGTTTTTTACTTGACCAATATATTCTGATTTCACACGTTCATGCAACCAATATCTCTGATAAACTTTTATAGATCGAGAAATAGTTTTTAATTGGAATAGAAATATTGTAAGTTGTTAAATAATGCATATATTAAAAGGGTTTTTTATAGCCTGTTTTGAAGAAAACCTGTTCTTAGTGCTTTATATTTTATATATTAAAAACCGGATCAATACATATTTTAGTTAAAACTTTGCAATCTAGTTTTTGTAATTCGATAGTTAATAATTAGTTATATTTTTGAAAACTTTATTTGACTTAGTTTTATTGAGATATTTTAGCCAAGATATTATAGCTAGAAAACTATTTGTTTAATTTTAGTATTAATCGATATATATATATATATATATCGATATAGTATTTGTCTTATAAGCGTCAGGTTGGTTATTGACGACTTGCATAACCTGGCACACATTACAGACGTGCGTATCGAACTGGGGTTTAAAAAATGTTTAGAGTTTGGTTCGGTTCGGTTTCGAACCGATCCTTACATGACCCAAAATTCGGTAAACGATTATTGGCAAACTATCTTTCAGTAAAATGAC